AATGTCTTCATGCCTTAAAATATCTTGAATGTAACTCGACACCCTCGCCTCATTTAGTATGCGCGGTTTGTGAATATGCAGATGAGCCCCGCCTCCACTCACTCAGAGATCCACTGGTTGTCGATCACCCGTTGATCTGATTGGTTACAAGGTGGTTTGTGACGTCAGAAACACCAGCGATTTCAAAGCGTGTTTTTGAGACTGTCTTTGGTTCACTGCAGTTTTAAGGAGGAAATACTCAGTCCACTTATCAACTTACACACAGTGTGTGTTAAAGCGGATTAAACACACCACACACACACATAAACAACATTAAACGCTGGATTTACACTTTAAAGTAAGTCCTACACCAGTTTCCTCCAGTTTGTGGACAGTGCTCGTTTGCTGTTGTAGGATGTTGAATCTCCGGTTCAGTGTTTGACGAACGGCTCACTGTGAAACAGAACGAGTGTGAATCATTCCAGGCTGGAGATTATCCAGCGTCTGAAGCGAGAGGCCGTTCATCTGGAATGTTATTTTGCCCGCGGGGAAAAGGGTGCACCTGGAATCAGCTAAACACACACACACACACACACACACACACACACGACTGAGAGACTCAGACCTGGAATCAGACGAACACAAAGATCACGATTCTCCCACTATTCTAAATAGGCAACTAAACAAAATAACATAATACTAGAGGTTCTGATAAAATGTTCATTTCTGCCGTTTATTTGAATATATTTAATTTATTTTGTTTAAATCAGTTTGAATGATGATTAAATGACTCACTCGTACATACATCACTTGTTTCATTACTGGATGTATGAATCTGCGTTTTTGAACAAATCTCTTGAATCAGTGATTCATTGACAAATTCATTTTTTAATTGTGGTTCTCATACTTGTGAATTAATGCCATTGATAGAAACTGTTTTCTCTAGAAATGTGTTTGAATTGAGATTGCGATCTTCTAATGATTAAATGTGCAGCGCTGATACTGAACAATGATTCAGTTTTTTTATTCTTCAGAAGGAGTTCAACCGTCTGTCTCATTAAAGCATACTTTGCATTGTTTACCGCATTTTCCGCCCTAGGCGTGTTTGAACGGCGTCACACAAGCAAACACTGCGTGTTGAGACTGATTCCTCAATGTTCACCTGACCACACTAGACCAAACACACTCGTCTGCCAAACACACTCGTCTGGCGAACACACTCGTCTGCCAAACACACTCGTCTGGCGAACTCACTCGTCTGCCAAACACACTCGTCTGCCAAACACACTCGTCTGCCAAACACACTCGTCTGGCGAACACAATCGTCTGGCGAACACACTCATCTGCTGAACACACACTCGTCTGCCAAACACACTCGTCTGCCAAACACACTCGTCTGGCAAACACACTCGTCTGGCGAACTCACTCGTCTGGCGAACACAATCGTCTGGCGAACACACTCATCTGCTGAACACACACTCGTCTGCCAAACACACTCGTCTGCCGAACACACACTCGTCTGCCAAACACACACACTCGTCTGCCGAACACACTCGTCTGCCAAACACACACACTCGTCTGGCGAACACACTCGTCTGCCAAACACACTCGTCTGCCAAACACACTCGTCTGCCAAACACACTCGTCTGCCGAACGCACTCGTCTGCCGAACACACTCGTCTGGCGAACACACTCATCTGCTGAACACACACTCGTCTGCCAAACACACTCGTCTGCCGAACGCACTCGTCTGGCGAACACACTCGTCTGGCGAACACACTCATCTGCTGAACACACACTCGTCTGCCAAACACACTCGTCTGCCAAACACACACTCGTCTGCCAAACACACACACTCGTCTGGCGAACACACTCATCTGGCGAACACACTCGTCTGGCGAACACACTCGTCTGGCGAACACACTCGTCTGCTGAACACACACTCGTCTGCCAAACACACTCGTCTGCCAAACACACTCGTCTGCCAAACACACACACTCGTCTGGCGAACACACTCGTCTGGCGAACACACTCGTCTGGCGAACACACTCATCTGCTGAACACACACTTGTCTGCCAAACACACTCGTCTGCCAAACACACACACTCGTCTGGCGAACACACTCGTCTGGCGAACACACTCGTCTGGCGAACACACTCGTCTGGCGAACAGACTCATCTGCTGAACACACACTCGTCTGCCAAACACACTCGTCTGCCGAACACACACTCGTCTGCCAAACACACACACTCGTCTGGCGAACACACTCGTCTGCCAAACACACTCGTCTGCCGAACACACTCGTCTGCCGAACACACTCGTCTGCCGAACACACTCGTCTGCCAAACACACTCGTCTACCGAACACACTCGTCTGGCGAACACACTCGTCTGCCAAACACACTTGTCTGCCAAACACACTCATCTGCCAAACACACACACTCGTCTGGCGAACACACTCGTCTGCCAAACACACTCGTCTACCGAACACACTCGTCTGGCAAACACACACTTGTCTGCCAAACACACTCGTCTGCCGAACACACTCGTCTGCCGAACACACTCGTCTACCAAACACACTCGTCTGCCAAACACACTCGTCTGCCGAACACACTCGTCTACCAAACACACTCGTCTGCCAAACACACTCGTCTGCCAAACACACTTGTCTGCCAAACACACTTGTCTGCCGAACACACTCGTCTACCAAACACACTCGTCTGCCGAACACACTCGTCTGCCAAACACACTCGTCTACCGAACACACTCGTCTGGCAAACACACACTTGTCTGCCAAACACACTCGTCTGCCGAACACACTCGTCTGCCGAACACACTCGTCTACCAAACACACTCGTCTGCCAAACACACTCGTCTGCCGAACACACTCGTCTACCAAACACACTCGTCTGCCAAACACACTCGTCTGCCAAACACACTTGTCTGCTATATATAATATATATATATAAAATAGTTATATATATACTATTTTTATATATATACTAGTTATATATATACTAATAAAAATAGTACCATAAAATTTCCTCAAAATATAAAATGTTACAAATATAATTGGACAAAAATTGCATAAAAAATGCACAATTGCAAAAAGAGTGCATAAATAGTACCATAAAATTTCCTCAAATATTACAAATATGATGAACAAAAATATACAGTATGCAAAAAGATATATATATATATGCGATATGTTTAAGTTATAACATTTTCTTCTATTATTTTTAATTACTTTTAATTTTTATGTGGACCAATTGAAATGTTCTGGCCAATATCTGATGATTGACAAAGCCTGATGTTATAATCTAATGTTAATGTAGAGAACAGAACCAATCAGCATCCGGGACGGGTGTTTTATAGTGTGTTTCCCACAGTCGGGTTCGCTGTGAACGTCAGAGCGAGAGACACTCTCTCTTTGTGTCTCTCTCTGTCTGTCTGCATTGTCATTCCCATGGAAATTAGCAAGCAAATTGTGACACCCTTTGACCTTTCACACACACACAGGTACCACACCCACTCATCCGTCTGTGAGAGAGAGAATTTCTAATTATTATCAATGTTGAAAACAGTGTTGTAACAGGATACATTACCATTCAAATGTTTGTGGTCAGTAAGATAGAAAAAATTATACTTTTATTCATTAAGGACCCATTGAAATTAATCAAAAGTGACAGTAAAGACATTTATAATGTTACAAAAGATTTCAAATAAATGCTTTTCTTTTGAACTTTCTAATTCATCAAATAATCTTGAAAAATAAACAAATTTTCAGTACTGTTGTTAATAATCACAATCATGTGTCTTGATCAGATCCTCATATTAGAGTGATTTCTGAAGGATCATGTGACACTGAAGACTGGAGTAATGATGCTGAAAATCACAGGAATAAATTACACTTTACTGTATATTCACATAGAGAACATTTACACAAGGATTTACATTATAATATTTCACAATTTGGTGATATTATACATATATATATATAGTTATATATATATATTTGCTGGAGGGTATTTTATTAATTCTTCCAAACTTCCCTGAATGGCACTAAGGGAAGTTTGGTTAGATTTGAACTAATATCTGATGTCAAATTTGTTCCCAGACTGCAGCTAAACAAACACACACACACACACCCCTCTCCTGACTGTCTGTTCAGTGTTGTCTGGCAGGACTGACCCGACTCGAGAGAGAGAGAGACGGGGGAGGAGCTTTGACCCTACGTGACCCCTGTGTGTGTGTGTGTGTGTGTGTGTGTGTGTTTGCCATCATCAGCTGCTCTCTTCAGCTCTTTGAATAGATGTCAGTGTTGCGTGTTCATAAACTTACACGACTGATGCTTTCAGATTGGTTCTCCTGTAAGCTGATGACCGATCAGTGATGATGCGCTGGAGGAAGTGATGTCACTTTTATAGATTCTGAGGAAATCTGAGTTTGAGTGACAGACGGACAGTATGCCAGAAACTGTCTTTGGAGACGTTTGGAAAAGCAGAGATGATTGATAAAGGAAACGGTGGCCTTTCTCAACTGATATGAGTTTAAGCGCTTTAACCTGTTAACAGTGAAATATTGTTATTGTTCTCACTGTGAATGGCTTTAAACGCTGAGAGTTTTAACATCATTCTGAAATTATTGACATTGTGTGTGTGTGTGTGTGTGTGTGTGAGAGAGAGAGAGATTGTGGCGTAGTTCAGGCCTCGCACCATCAGCTGTCTCTTTTTGTTCTCATATGCAAAACCGACTCGCTTAGACAATTCAGTCTAGACCCACAGACCTCGTGTGTGTGTGTGTGTGTGTGTGTGTCGCCCGTCCCCCTCTCACCCATCTGTGTGTGAACGCAGGAGCTTCAGTGTTCAGTGTGTGTTTGACTGGATGTGAGTGTGGATCATGCAGGAGTGTGTTCAGAACCACTGCAGCGGTGAGTGTTTACTGTGGGTTGAGTGTGTGTGTGTGTGTGTGTGTATTGAGTCTGATTTCTGATGTAGTGTGTGTGTGTGTGTGTGTGTGCAGCCCAGCTGGAGTTTGTTCAGATCCTGGTGATCGTGGTGGTGATGATGATGATGGTGGTCGTGATCACGTGTTTGCTGAACCACTACAGACTCTCGGCGAGATCCTTCATCTCTCGACACGGACGAGCACGCAGACGCCTTCCCCTGCCGTCGGTGAGACTCACACACACACACACACACACACACACATGCTTGCTTAATTCACACACACTGTTGTCCGTCTCACAGGCGTCGGATCTCTGTGGGGTGATTGTGCTAATGTTAGCTTTGGCTGGGTCATATTATCGATGACTCATGACTCGTGTGTGTGTGTGTGTGTGAGAGAGAGAATTGAACACAGTGTATCTTTCTTCTTAATTCACGCACGCACACACACACACACTGCAATATGTCACAACTGAACACATCATGATATCATAGTTGGATCATGATTGAAGCAGGGCCGAGTGTGTGTGTGCGGGGCCGAGTGTGTGTGTGCGGGGCCGAGTGTGTGTGTGCGGGGCCGAGTGTGTGTGTGCGGGGCCGAGTGTGTGTGTGCGGGGCCGAGTGTGTGTGTGCGGGGCCGAGTGTGTGTGAGATGAGGAGTGATGCTTTAGAGTCTACAGTGAATTACATTAATGAACATAAAAATACAGATATATTGTATAGTTTAAATCTTTATATAAATTATAATATTATTTTCAGTGTATGAGATGATCAGCTGACTGTATATTATCTGGTTTATTACACGACTGCTTACTAAATAAACAAACTAATGTTCATGACCAGCGCATCTCGACCTGGAAGTTAATACGTTTAATTAAAGTAAATAAGTTGTTCAGCCCGTTTGCTGTTGTGTGTGTGTTCCTCGCTCATGTGGAGTGTGTGTTTGTGTGTGTTCTGCTCCAGGAGGGTCTGTGGTCGTCTGACGCTCCAGGGTCTTCGGCTGCCGTCACCGAGGTACGACTTATTATATTCATACCTGTGTTCATAAGCACATGCTGCTGTCTCTGTACTCTCATCCGGAGAAAACCAACGGATTCTATAGAAAATAAGACCATTTTATTAAAAAACACGAAGTATGAAAATTTATGATTGAAGCAAATTTTCAAAAATTGCAGAGAAATGAATAATTATGCACAATGAATGCATAAATATTACTTAGTACCATACAATTCCCTCAGAATACGAAATATTACACATATGACTGAACAAAAATGTCAAAACAAGTAAAAAAAAAATGCATAATTATTAATTGGTGCTATAAAATTCCCACAAAATTCAAAATATTTTTAAAATATCATTGACCAAAAATACAATACATTGACTTTCCTGGGGAAAAACCTGGGGAAAAAAGCCTGAGGAGTGGGAGCCGAGCGACCCCGAGTGAGCAGCGGTTCAGTGCACAGGCAAACAACTGCATTAAAAATGCACAATATGCAAAAATAATGCATAAATATGAGCAAAAAAATAGTACCATAAAAAATCCTCAAAATATAAAATATTACAAATATAATTGGACAAAAATTTCATAAAAAATGCACAATTGCAAAAAGAGTGCATAAATATGACTAAAAAATAGTACCATAAAAATTCCTCAAAATATAAAATATTTCAAGTATGATGAACAAAAATATACAGTATGCAAAAAGAATGTATAAATATTACTTAGTACCATAAAATTCCCTGAAAATACAAAATATTAAAAATATAATTTAACAAAAATATATATTTTTAAATGCACAATATGCCAAAAGAATGCATAAATAATTCTTAGTGCCATAAAATTCCTAAAAAATATTACAAATATGATTGAACAAAAATTGCATAAAATTGCATAAAAATGCACAACCTGCAAAAAGAATGCATAAATATTACTTAGTACTGTAAAATGTCCTCAAAATAAAAAATATTACAAATATAATTGGACAAAAATTGCATGAAAAATGCACAATATGCTAAAAGAATGCATAAATGTGACCAAAAAATAGTACCATAAAATTTTCTCAAAATATAAAATATTACAAATATGATTAACAAAAATATACAGTATGCAAAAAGAATGTATAAATAATACTTAGTACCATAAAATTCCCTGAAAATACAAAATATTAAAAATATAATTTAACAAAAATATATATTTTTAAATGCACAATATGCCAAAAGAATGCATAAATAATTCTTAGTGCCATAAAATTCCTAAAAAATATTACAAATATGATTGAACAAAAATTGCATAAAATTGCATAAAAATGCACAACCTGCAAAAAGAATGCATAAATATTACTTAGTACTGTAAAATGTCCTCAAAATAAAAAATATTACAAATATAATTGGACAAAAATTGCATGAAAAATGCACAATATGCTAAAAGAATGCATAAATGTGACCAAAAAAATAGTACCATAAAATTTTCTCAAAATATAAAATATTACAAATATGATTAACAAAAATATACAGTATGCAAAAAGAATGTATAAATAATACTTAGTACCATAAAATTCCCTGAAAATACAAAATATTAAAAATATAATTTAACAAAAATATATATTTTTAAATGCACAATATGCCAAAAGAATGCATAAATAATTCTTAGTGCCATAAAATTCCTAAAAAATATTACAAATATGATTGAACAAAAATTGCATAAAATTGCATAAAAATGCACAACCTGCAAAAAGAATGCATAAATATTACTTAGTATTGTAAAATGTCCTCAAAATAAAAAATATTACAAATATAATTGGACAAAAATTGCATGAAAAATGCACAATATGCTAAAAGAATGCATAAATATGACCAAAAAAATAGTACCATAAAATTTTCTCAAAATATAAAATATTACAAATATGATTAACAAAAATATACAGTATGCAAAAAGAATGCATAAATAATACCAAAAAATAGTACCATAAAATTTCCTCAAAATATAAAATATTACAAATATAACTGGACAAAAATTTCATAAAAAATGCACAATTGCAAAAGGAGTGCGTAAATATGACCAAAAATAGTAGCATAAAATTTCCTCAAAATATAAAATATTACAAATATGATGAACAAAAATATACAGTATGCAAAAAGAATGTATAAATAATACTTAGTACCATAAAATTCCCTGAAAATACAAAATATTAAAAATATTATTGAACAAAAATATATATTTTTAAATGCACAATATGCCAAAAGAATGCATAAATAATTCTTAGTGCCATAAAATTCCCACAAAATATTACTAAAATTATTGAACAAAAATTGCATAAAAAATGCACAACCTGCAAAAAGAATGCATAAATATTACTTAGTACTGTAAAATGTCCTCAAAATATAAAATATTACAAATATGATGAACAAAAATGTACAGTATGCCAAAAGAATGTGTTAGTGCCATAAAATGACCACAAAACTGTTATTGACTGAAAATGCATAACATTGCGTGTGTGTGTGTGTGTCCAGCAGGTGTACACTCCTCGGCCCTCGGCCCTCCAGCGCTCGCGTGTGAGCCGCTTCCAGCCCACGTACCCGTACCTCCCGCACGCCACCATCGACCTGCCGCCCACCATCTCGCTGTCGGACGGGGAGGAGCCGCCGCCGTACCAGGGCCCGTGTGCCCTCCAGCTGCGCGACCCCGAGCAACAGCTGGAGCTGAACCGCGAGTCCGTGCGCGCGCCGCCCAACCGCACCGTGTTCGACCGCATCACGGCCCCGCCCGCCTACTGCGAGGTCATAGGTCACTGCTACCACCCGGGCCCGCACACACACACGCAGCTCATCCAGATCGGCCGGACGGACGCGCGCGATAAAGACAAGCTGCACGCGCAGGCGGTCTGATGACGTCAGCGGCTGAGGAGACACACCTTATATATATATATATACAGCTTATCACACAGCAGGTCAGAGGTCAGAGGTCAGCGATCCAGGGAAACCGGGCAGTTGCACAAGAGACTCTCGAGAGCGTACGGATTCACTCCGGTCTTGCCTTTTCACTCAGACCTCTCTCTCTCTATATATGTATATCATGTCCTCCAGTGACGACACATGGAAGAAGACTCGTGTTCCAGCTGGAAGTGGAGATGGGGGAACTGGGAAAGCTGGGATGTTCTCCAGCGTAGAAACACTTCTTTCCTGTCAGGGTTCATCACTAGTTTTGCATTAGATGCACAATATCCAGACATTTATTCTGATGTTTGTGTGTGTTTGCTGTCAGAGAGAGCGTTTGCCAACAACATTACGTGTGTATGTGTGTGTATATAGGCTACTATATAAATATATATATACAACATGTATATGGAAAGAAAAGCAAACTTAAAAGCACGATTTTAGAGTTATTTATATAAATGTCTAAAATTGCACTATTTTTAATATTACTATATGATCGGTCCACAGAGAGTGTGTGTGTGTGTCCTGGACTGGGATTAACCAGTTAGTTCCCATCATCCGGACCAGATCTAGATTTCTAGTGTAGTTTCAGTTCATGTGTCGGATGTGTTTGCCTTAATTTTATTCTGTATTCTAGAAATCTGGATTCGCAATCATTGGCGTTTCGAAGCGGAGGAGTTCGGCTGTGGCGTCTCTTATAGCACTTTACCGAGAGGAAAACAATCCACAGCTGTAGCCGAACGCGCATATGCAAACGCTCCGACGGGTGACGACGCGCGCTGACCTGGGGTCACGTCATGGGGATGTTGTGGAGAGAGTTGATTCACTCGACTCACTGAGACACTCGAGTCACTGAATCATTGAGTAAGTGAATCATTGAGTCACTGAATCATTTAGTCTCTGAATCATTGAGTCACTGAATCATTTAGTCTCTGAATTATTGAGTCACTGAATCATTGAGTAAATGAATCATTGAGTAAATGAATCATTTAGTCTCTGAATCATTTAGTCTCTGAATCATTGAGTAAATGAATCATTTAGTCTCTGAATTATTGAGTAAGTGAATCATTGAGTAAATGAATCGTTTAAACTCTGAATTATTGAGTAAGTGAATCATTGAGTAAATGAATCATTTAGTCTCTGAATTATTGAGTAAGTGAATCATCGAGTCACTGAATCATTTAGTCTCTGAATTATTGAGTAAGTGAATCATCGAGTAACTGAATCAATGAGTCACTGAATCATTTAGTCTCGTAATCATTGAGCCACTGAATCATTTAGTCACTAAATCAATGAGTCACTGAATGATTGAGTCACTGAATCTGAATCGCTGCCAAACTGTGACTCGCATGAACGGCTCCTGCACTGCAAAACATGCTTTTCTTTCTCTGTATGTTCGTCTTGTCTCCAGTCCAAGTATTAAGCGTTTCACATTTACTAAAGGAGTGAAATGCCATAAGATATTAAGTCTTGTTTTGTGGGGAAATAAATAAAAATCAAGTGAGTTGATGCTTAAATCTAGTGAAACTCTCTGCCAGTGGGGTCAGAAAAACATGACCTTGTTTCTGTTTGAATTGAGATTATTTTTCCCATTGGCAGATCATTCTGATTTTGATTAATTCCCCTGGAAAACAGGACATACTGTAATATCTTGTCATGTTACGAGTAAATGCATTGTGATTTAAGAGTTTTAACACATTTGGACTGGAAACGAGACGAAGAGAAGTGTTGTTTGCGGTGTGTTCATCATTTCCCATGATGCAGTCTGCGCAGGGTCTATTCTGCCGTGTCCGCTTCCAGACGAGTCCACGGCTGGAGAGAGACTGTGTTTATGCTTTATTATAAATCATGCGTTCGGCATTTCTATAACACGAGTTCCATATTATCAGCGAAATGCATTTCTTTATTCTAGCCGTTTAGATTCCAGACTAGTGCGTTTCTATATCATATTCCATTTATATTTCTACACATGCATTTCTGGATGATATAATATAGGATGCATTGGTGATTATCTCGTGCTCCTTAAATTCCGACTAGTTAGCTTTTGCATTTGGTATTTCTATAATATTCCTGCTGCATATGATTTATGATGTATCCCGTCGGCCGGCGGGGGTCGTTCTCTCTCCAGCGGCACGTCTTTCCCTCACAGAGACGCCCGTTCTTTGCACTCCGAGATGCCAGTGTGTCACATGACCCTGTCAGCCAATCAGGCGGCCGTTGACAGGAAGTGACATTGTATGCATGATGATGATAGTGGAGAGAGTTGCAATATACCGACTATTGGCCTTTTGATAATGTAGTTTATCTCAGATTAGTTGTTTGTATGTTATTGTTGCTTCTTGTTTAAAGGTCATTTTTGTTGAAGAAAGGCCAGATTTGTAAGTGATGATGTCACTGAGGAGTGTGTTTAGAGGTGTGTGTGTGTGTGGTTCAGTGCTGGTCCTCCGCCTTCATCATCCACACGTGTTATTGTCACTTATCTTTATTTATATCAGATGCTGAAAAGTGTTACCGGATGTTTCTCTTTTGGACAGTGTCTGTCACACACACACACACACACACACACACACACACCATGTTATACAATCTGATGCATTTCAATTTAGCTGCCAAATAAACAAATAAAACCTTTTATAAAATAATGTATGCATTGAGTTGTTTTGTTCCTCCACAGTACTTGTGTTATTATCATTTATATGTGTGTATTCTGTGTTTAACTTTAACGCTGTAAAGCCGGTTATTGACCCTTTAGACACAATACGAAAGTTTGGATGTTTAACGTTGAGCATCATATACAATCCATCAGGCTTTTATGGCAAATATGGTCTGAAATAGTGAGAATATTTTGCTTAATTTTATATTTATTCAGCATAAATATGCTGTTTGCTGAAGATCCTGATATTTATAGGAAATTCTGATGATTGTAAATTAGTGAGATCTTCATAACAGAAGCAGATACTGACAAAATGCATATAAATATTAATAGCTTCAATAATATGTCTTAGTAAGATGATATTTAAATGATTATTTGTATGATCTATAGTTTTAAAACAATGCAATTCAATACAATCTTTATTGAGAGATGAATAAATAAGCCTGATGATCACATTTGACACTCATGTTATTTATAATAAATGATGGATAATCAAGTAAACCTGCTTCAGTCCAGCTGAAATATTACTAACAATATCAAAGTTATTCTCATGTTCACTTGATAAAACTCAGAGCAGATTTCAGATCATAAAGACTCGAGCTGAAGGACGTTTGTACAATTAAACCGAAAGACTTTTACTTGATAAAGAGTCTAAACTCAGTCAGAGACAGCAGGACTGGAGGAGATCCACACGTTTATCACATCATCTTCATCATTTCCAGATCATATCAGATATGATTCAGTCGCTTTAGCTATAATATTGAGTTGAAGGTTCAGTGATCTCGTGTGTCTACAGTGACTGCAGTTCTGCTTCTGTCCAGCAGAGGGCGCTTCAGTGACTACAGTTCTTATAGATATCTATGGCAGTTCTGCTTCTGTCCAGCAGAGGGCAGGCTCGTGTCATGCAGGGTCATCTACTCGGACATTAGAATCAGTTTCACGTTACATGCTTACATGTAGTTACTGTAGTAATAACTATAAATCAGGCAACCAACCCTTAAACAAACCCCAACCCTAACCCTACAGTAAATGTAGTTAATTATTATTACTCAACAATGACACCTTAAAATATAGTGTTACCCACCGTGACTCTACAGTGCACATGCAGTTAATGTATATTACACTTACTTGAGTAAGTATACCGTGTAACTACGTCCCCTTAAAATAAACGTGACTTTTTTAACTATAATGTTTAATAGAAAAAATATAATGATTGATTAAACACTGAACTGACTTAAATGAACTCTGTTTGCTCCATTTAATCACTGTAAAGATGATTTAAAACATCATCTCTTTTGTATAAAGCGTTATAGAAATAAAAGCGACTGACAGGGATCGTTCTCCTTAACGTCCACATAATCAAGAAAAAAAAAACGTTTTTAAAATGTTCAAAAACGTGGCATTTTTTAACGTTCATAAATGATATTTTCATAACTTGGAAACGTTTGCAGAGCGTTCTTGTAATACATGTCAGTCTGCTCATGATCCCGGTATTCCCGAGTCTGAACTTCAGCTGCTCGTGACCTTTGACCCGTGTGTGGAAATGTCTGTTCATCAGTTATTGTGCGATAAGACGCGCGTTCCCGAGTTGTGGAATCTCAATTATCCAGTAAAGAAGAACGGCGTGTTCATCATCAGAGGTCGAGAGCCTCACACACACACACACACACACACACACACACACACACACCTCCTGTCACTACACAAGTGTGTGTGAGTTAATGTCTCAACAGCAGAACTCGCGCAGATAACAGCAGAAAAACATGTTGTTCCTGAGACAGGATGTCAGTGTGTGTGTGTGTGTGTGTGTGTGTGTGTGTGTGTGTGTGTGTGTGTGTGTGTGTCAAAGCATCACTACACTCTAAAAAATGCTGGGTTATTTCAGCCCAAATTTGGATCAAATATGGACAAACCCAAATTTGGGTGTAATTAAAAAATGTAATTAAAAAAATGTAGTTGAAAAGTTAAAAGTTGAAGTTGGGTCACAATTTTAAATGACATTTTTAACCCAACATTTGGGTTTGTCCATATTTTACCCAATTCTGGGTTAAAAACAACCCAGCATTGTTGAGTGTACATTCCTCCAAAAACATGTGCACTGCATACTTGTGACATCAGTTTGTAATTTAAAAATATATTTGTTGAAACATATGTATTGTTTTATACAAATAAACTGTCTGTATTTGAAAACAATGTTTTTTTTATTATTATTTATTAAAATAACGTCATAAATAAAAGTAAATGTTTAACTCAAGATGCATTGGGTTAAATTAACCCACAGTTGGGAAGGTGCTATACCACTCCATAGTTGGGTTATTTTTTGGGTTATTTTTAAGCGAGTACAACAAACAATCAACAACCCTTTAATTTGCATAAACCCCGCCCCCTGAACACGATTAGTAGATAATCAAGACAGAACATGCTAATCAATGACATCAGCTGAATAAATTCATCAACTAACCACTCAGAAATGTCCTGTTATATTCTACATGCGGCACTTCTTCTTGAGTCTCTCCATCATCTGACATCATCATAATGACATTAACGGCTAAAAGTTTTATAAATGCATGTGTGTGTGTGAGACTGTGAGGTAAAGGACATGAGCTGTTGTAGCTCCGCCCCCTGTGCTCGTAGAAGGAGCTCATTTGCATTTAAAGGAACAAAAAAAACGTGCCCTCAAAAGTGGCCGGTGTAACACGCTATAGTATACTCACAGCCGTCTATACTCATAGATCATCTCTCAACACATTCATGCCCACTTTAAAAACTTCTAATAGACTTCAGTACAAAATATCACAAAACAACGTCCGTACACAGCCGACATCCGTGAATAACTTTAAGATTAAACATGTCAAGTAATTATATGTCCACCCTGCCTGCCATAGAGCATGAACAATACATCAGCAATTTTATTAGGTCAGTTTAAAAACACGTCCCTTCATTCTCAGCGTCAAACTGGTGTAACGACCACAGATTCAGTCACTCTCTCCTCATTTCTCCACTATACGCACGTGTTTCTCGTTCCCTAGAAAGACCGTTATTGGCACAGAACATTATCTGATGCTATAGGCGGGTGTGAACACGCCCCCTTTACCCAGCATGCACTGCTCCGGCAGATAAGGCACCTTCTGAAGTCCACCTTTATCACCAGCATGAGCAAATATGCCTGAGCTTATGAACATTACACAAGCCTGCGAGGCGAGCGTCAGCATGAATGAACTCCGTCACTGCCATTGATGTGAATGTGATGTAAGGGTTCACATGAAGGCCATGAACCAGAGAGACTCTTATTCACATTATACTTAAACACTCAATATGATGAATGTTCTTCTAAAGTATATATACGTGCAACACGCCGCAAAACAAGTGTTTCTGTCTCGGTCTCCAGCTAAACACCTACACACTCTTAGATTCACTGGAGAACAGCAATGACTGGAGATATGAAGTCTTGATCATGAAGGAAAGCATGAAAATGAAGCGAGTTTGAGCTTAAAACAAGAACAAATATCTGCCAATGGAAAAAAATCAAATGGTTTTACATCTTGTTTATTTTTTAACCCTCACGGGAGTTTCGTCATTCATCAATGCGCCGTTAATGAGTGTTCAGGCCCATGATGATCATCTATTGAGTGAATGATGAAGATCTAAGCATAACGATTACTAAATGAGTAAAGTTTGTTGACAAAAGGTCTGAACGTTTAAAATAACCCTTTTTTTAAAGAAAGTCAAAAAATGTGTTAGCATGATTTAAAGAATCGCCCTGTAGTCGATAATTTTATCCCTTAAAGCTCATCTTTGATCACCACAATTACATATTTAAGTGTTTTTCCTTGAAAAAAATGTTGTAAGGCCTTAAAATATCTTGAATGTAACTCGACACCCTCGCCTCATTTAGTATGCGCGGTTTGTGAATATGCAAATGAGCCCCGCCTTCACTCACTCAGAGATCCACTGGTTGTCGATCACGCGTTGATCTGATTGGTTACAAGGTGGTTTGTGACGTCAGAAACACCAGCGATTTCAAAGCGTGTTTTTGAGACTGTCTTTGGTGCACTGCAGTTTTAAAGAGGAAATACTCAGCAATGCTGTCCACTTATCAACTCACACACGGTGTGTGTTAAAGCGGGTTAAACACACCACACAGGCCCGTCGCCAAGGGGGGGCATTGGGGGGCAGTGCCCCCCCAAACGACTTACTGTGCCCACCTACGCATGAGCTTAATATGTATATGCTAATAATTATATCGAACAGAGCTCGGTCTTTCTGCATAACTTATCTCACAGGAACGGTAAGCTCTACAACGGTAGGAATGTATAATACATTATCTTCAGAAATGATTTAGAAATTCATTATTCAACGCATTATTACACAGAACGTAACTTGAAATATAATTATTTTCATAAATGACTGTTAAAACATCCCAAAACAGCACCCAAACCTTGCAAAGACCTACCTCATTAATTATTCACATTCAACAGCCAATGGCAAGTCTCCAGCAGCAGACCTTTCAATTTGTTATTTTTGTGTTAGTATTTTTACTTCTTCAAATTACAATATGCAGTTTGTGTTTAAGGATAAATAAATAATTTAAACAATGCAATTTATTTAGTTAAGCATACAGTATAGATACAGTCGGCAACGCGTCATAGTTGGGGGGCGTGGTCGGTGTGGGGGAAAGCAGCGCGACCATCCTATGTATTTGAATGACAAAAATGTCATATTGCGAGTCATTTATGCCTGCCGACCGGCAACGGTACATTGCAAAATTAACTGTAATAGGTTATGATTGCCCTTATTTAATTAAAAACTGGGTCAATGACCCAACCAAATGGCCGGAGGTGTCGTTTCCAGACTATTATATCTGGTTGAATCTTCAGGTAAGACATCGCGGAAGCAACCGGTGTTGTGCCGAATTTCGACTCCCTGCCAGAATCCGACTCCCCCTCGCGTGCACGCGCAATGACGGCAACACAAGCCTGTAACTCAATCAACTTGCGTATAAGTTACTATAAAACCATGTCACTTACCAATTGTACGTTACGTATGCTTCACTCCAAACTATTAATCCTTTTGTAAAACGGTGATCATTAGTAGTCGCTACGAAGTTGCAGAGGGACTTTGCTGACAGTTATCCGAATTAGACTGCAGTCTGATAACCTTCAGCTGATAACGCTAATAGCATCCCTTATGAAAAACAACTAAAGGAATCTTGTAGTATTTTAGGACAAAATATTATGGTAACGTTAATCCTATAGGAATACTATAGTATTTTGGGACATAGCCTAGAAGTATAGGTATTAATGAACATAACAGAAGTATTATACACTACTATAGAATACTAATAGCCATAGGATTACTATAGTTCTTTTTCGTAAGGGACGTAACGTCAGACAAATCTGGCCCACTGACTAATACGAGTTAAACATCTACTACTATATCACACAGGGACCTCTACTCACACAGTAATCTAATAAGATATGATTAATTTTGCCATTTTGTCCTCCTATCCGGTTCTGTATGTATGTAAGAAAGGCTGTAGAACTTCAATTTATAATTTGTTTGTTTATTGGTGGTACAGAAAACGACACCGCAACTCTTCGGCATGATTGTCCCATGTATTTCAATGAGCGCCAAGGCAATGTTTTCCCCCACGGGCTAAATTCACACCACGTGACGGGGCGTTCCCGGGGGCGTTCCCAGACCAACCGACTGTATCTATTGTTTATACGTAATTCCTTTGCGCAGCTGCGCAGTGCATGCGATGCGAGAATCAAATTCTGGTGGTTTTGTACATAGTCTATGGTTTTGTACGCCTACAGCAAAGCTTATGCTAAGTGGTTTAAAGTTTCGTCGTTGAAAAAAGACGACTTTTGACCAACAACAACGTGCGTGCAAGACTCTGGAGCTAATTAGATGGTAGGGAAAGGTAAGAATAGAGAATTTGTCTGCTACATTGCTAAATTTGTATTGCAGTATGTTATGCATTGCTTTTATTATTGCTGTATTGTTGGTGGAAACCAGGTGCTTTTGTGACTCATTTTTATGACGTGTAGAGTCATAAATCAATTTGGTTTTGGCGTAGTTTTACTTAGTTTGGACTTTGGACTAATGATATTACGTTGATTGCGCCTTTTACAAGAAAGCCACTAGATGGCACTGTGTTGTGTATGTGACGAACTATGCAGATTAACAAAAAATATAGGCTACTAGGCTAGCAAGCTATATGTGGAAATGTTAAGAGAAAATAAACAGAGACGTTGAGATCATAAAGTGAAGTATTTTATTTAAATAAAATGAATAAAACAAGACTATTGTGGTCTATTTTAGTTGAAGCCTAATATGGGTTGTTGTTTTGGTCTGTCTCAGATCATTAAAAAAAGTGTGCCCCCCTATGAAAATTAAATGCCCCCCCAATTGGTTTGTTCTGGCGACGGCCCTGACACCACACACACACATAAACAACATTAAACGCTGGATTTACACCACAGGGGGACTTTAAAGCTGTTTCGAACCTTTAATGCCACGTCATCCAAGAAAAATAAAATTATATCAATTATGTAAATTATCAGTCAACCTCTGACTCACATTATTAATATCTTTATTACAACTAGAACTTTTTCAGATACTTGGAAAAAAACACTATAAGTCCAGGAATATTGCAGATGCCAGGAACTATCGACCTAGTCGAGTCCCGGTAGCATTTAAAATATTGGAAGAAATAATTACAGAACTAATTAAATTTTTAGGGAACTCAGAGAACAACAAACCGAACAGGAGAAATATTAATGAGTGATATTAAACTCTCAGTCACATTAAAAACCGATCTTTAAAAACGAAGGCCAGGACGATCAGGAATCGTTTGCTTCTGTGTTTCAGCGCTTGTGTCCGAGCTGTCGGAGCGCTGTCTGTCTCAGACCACCACCTGAGCGGCTTTATTTAACATAAAACTGTTCTATTTTAACAAAACACTAAATCTTCAGTTTTTTGTAACTTTAGCCATATAAATCTTGTATTTAAATGTTTGATTAGACTTGCCCCTGATACACTTGTATTTCCACACAGACTGTCAGTAATCATAACTGCTCTCATTACAGTGACTTGTCTCTGTTTGCACTGAATGTTTCCTGGATCATGTGTAAATATAAGCATATGTACAGTAGGCTATTAATGTGGTGTATTTTTTATGTACATGCACATTTATAAATGTAGAACAACATTAACACAATAAAGCTCACTGTGAATAAAACACAAACGCTAAATGTACATTTAAATATCTTTATTATTAATATCTAGATCATAAGGAGATCTAGATATCAAAAGGCATAGAAATACAAAAATAATTTAAGACATTTAGAAAAATGAAATGGTTGCAAAGAGTTTAAAGTTTTCTGCCATAAAGACTCCCGCTGAATATATAAATGTGAACATAGTTGGACATTTTGCATCAATAATTTATAAGGTTAAATAACAAACAGTCCTTTAAGTTCATACATAGATGTCATCAGATCTTCGGCAGCTTGACATTTCCGTCTCAGTCTGTGGAAGCTCTTCTTCTGAATTTGTTTTCAAGTTTATATCTCACAATTCTGACTTTTTTCCTCAGAATTCCAAGTTTATATGTTACCATTCAGAATTTTTCCTTGGAATTCCAAGTTTATATCTCACAATTCTGACTTTTCTCTTCAGAATTTTGAGTTTATTTCTTAAAATGACTAATTTTTCCTTGGAATTCTTTCCAACTTTTTCCCCTCAGAATTCCAAGTTTATATCTTAAAATTCCACATTTCTCCTCGGAATTACGAGTTTATATCTTACATTTCTGACTTTTTTTCCTTGGAATTCCAAGTTTATGTCAAAAAAATATAAATGCAAGATAAAAAATTTAGTTTTTTTTTTGTTTAATTCCATAGCAGGTTCAGCCACTGATTAGAAATATAAAGAGTTGCGGCTCTCACAGCCGTGCCACTCTCTGCTCCAGCATCTCCAGCTGGCGCTCCATCTCTGCGGGCAGGTCCTGGTTCACCTCGCGCCGGAAGTACGCTCGGATCTCCTCCATCTCCCGGCTCCAGAACTGGGCTGAGATGTGGAAGAGCTGGTCCTGGTCCAGGTCCGACGGGAGACCTCTGAGGTTCAGCTGGACGGGCAGGAACCCGACGGCGCTGGGCATCGCTCCGGCCTCGCCGCTGATCCTGCGGAACATCCACTCCAGCACACGGATGTTGTCCCCGAAGCCGGGCCACAGGAACCGGCCCGACGCGCTCTTGCGGAACCAGTTGACGTGGAAGATCTTGGGCAGTTTGGCATCGGGGCGGTCCTGCATGCTCAGCCAGTGGGACAGATACTGACCGAAGTTATAGCCGAAGAACGGGCGCATGGCGAACGGGTCGTGCATGATGACTTTACCTGGACACAGCAACACACACTGCTTTACTAGCGCAACACAAACATCATCATCTGGGGATATTTGACGGGTTGGACTCTCACACATGAATTATGTTGAATATCTGTCAGCTGGAAAATTGAACTCCACAATTAGATAATACCAGTTTAGCATGTGCTATTAAATCACAGTAACACTTGTACTTGTTTAAGCCCTCGTTAGTTAATGCATTAGTTAATATGAACCACTTATGAGTAATATTGTTGGTGCATTGACTCACCTGTGTGTTCGGCGGCCGCCGTGGCTTCGGATCTCATGGCCGCGCCCACAAACACTCCGTGTGACCAATCGAAAGCCTCGTACACCAGCGGGACGCCCTCGGGCCGACGCCCACCGAAGATCACGGCCTCGATGGGAACGCCTTCGGGAGACTCCCACTGCGGGTCGATGATGGGACACTGGCCGGCCGGCGTGCAGAAGCGTGAGTTGGGATGAGCGCACGGCTCGCCTGTGGAGGAGAGAGGAGTCGTTATCAGCGGCTCAGACGTGGACCGAGACGGAGAGACGTGGACCGGATCTGGCCAACTCTAGTGATCCTTGGCTCAAGATGGACAAAATGTATATTTCCAATTTCGATTTGGGTAGCAATTTGGGGAGAACCCATCAGAGTGTGACCTTGCATGTAGAAGCATGCATCATTCATGGAGATCGACCATAGGTGGCGCTATTATTGTCAAAAAGCTTTGAAAACCATATGGCCTGTATTGGCTGTAAATGATCTTTTCTATCTGGTTAAATGCTTGCTAAAGAAAACGTAATGTCTGTAACGGTTGACCCCGCTGAATGCCGCTCGCAGCTTTAATTGTGCTCACCGTCCTCGGGCGTCCAGGGCCGGTTCTTCCAGGACTTCAGGGTCGTTCCCTCGGGCAGATCCTCATCCATGCCCTCCCAGTAAACCCCGCCGGCGCTGGTCTCGGCCACGTTGGTGAAGATGGTGTTCTGGCGGATGGTGTGCATGGCGTTCGGGTTGGTTCTGCTGGAGGTTCCTGGTGCCACACCGAAGAAACCGTTCTCTGGGTTGATGGCTCTGAGATTCCCTTCAACACAACAACAGAGGACGTCAACCGAAAGAGCACAAAACTGCATATTTATTCTCAGTAATAAATATAGGATGATTATGTGTTTTAGCTGGAGCGCCTGTAGAGCTCGGATGATGCATTTCTGAACATTTTAACCCTTCGTTTCCATCATCCTTAAAGTCTGTGGAAGCAGTTTTCCACCACAGAATGAAAAATAAAAAGTTGCGCGATATAAAGTCAGAGTAGCGAGATATAAAGTCAGAATTGCGATATATAAAGTCAGAGTTGCGAAAAAAAAGTCTGAATTGAGAGATGTAAATTTGCAATTATGACATAAAAAGTCGCAATTATCTTGCAGATGAAAAAAATCCTATTAGGTTTTTGTGGAGGGACCTTATGGTTCACACACACACACGCTGAACACTGCACGCCGTCTCTCTGTACCTTCGGTGTCGAACTTCATCCAGGCGATGTCGTCTCCGACACACTCCACCTTCCAGCCCGGCAGAGAGGGCTTCAGCATGGCCAGGTTCGTCTTGCCACACGCGCTCGGGAACGCCGCCGCGAAATACTTCTTCTGTCCCGCCGGGTTAGTGATGCCCAGGATCTGCAGGGCCATTCATATTTAATAAAAACAGGCTATACAGGAGAGTCCTGTCATTGATATTGGACTGACTCTGTTCAGTCGAGGTAACGCTCGATCTGGTGTGTGTCTGAGACTGACCAGCATGTGTTCGGCCAGCCAGCCCTCCTCTTTAGCGATGCGAGACGCGATTCGAAGAGCGAAACACTTCTTTCCCAGTAGAGAGTTCCCCCCGTACCCGCTGCCGAACGACACGATGCTCCTCTGCTCCGGGATGTGTGCGATCAGCGTGAGATCCGGGTTACAGGGCCAGTTATTCACCAGCGGCTCTGAGAGAGAGAGAGAGAGCGAGAGAGATAGAGAGAGGGAGAGAGAGAGAGAGAGAGAGAGAGAGGGAGAGAGAGGGAGAGAGTAAAAATATTTTATTTATTCATTATTAGTATTATTATTTATTTATTTATTTATTTATTGTATAATGTTATTAATGCTTTGGCAATGTAAAGATTGGTTTAGATTTATTTGATTCAAAAAGCCAATAAAGCTATTTGAATCTTTGAGCGAGAGAGAGAGAGAGAGATTCACTAGTACTCACTCTTGAGGGGAAGTGGGCATCCGACGGAGTGAAGGCATCTCACAAACTCTCCGTTCCCGAGCGCGTCCAGAACGGCCTTTCCCACGCGGGTCATGATCCTCATACTGGCCACGACATACGGGGAGTCGGTCAGTTCCACACCGATCTTCGAGAGCGGAGACCCAACCGGACCCATGCTGAACGGGATCACGTACATCACACGACCTGAGGACACACACTGTATCATTCTACGGGAACGTTACTTTGTATCATTCTTTAAACATTACGGGAACGTTACATTGTATCATTCTTCAGACGCTACGGGAACGTTACTTTTCGAATGTTGTCTAAACGTTCTGAATCAAGTTGCAACATTTAAAAATATATATTTGCATATTTACTAAATGAGGCAAGAGTGTGCAGTTACAATCAAGATATTTTAAGGCATGACGATTTAAATGTGAGTTTTAAGGGATAAACTGATTGACTATAACTGGACGCTGGTGTACCTTTCATGCAGCCCGGGAAGCGCAGGTTCTTGGCTTTGTCCCATTCCTCGGGTGACATCCATCGGCCGAGTTCACTGACGCCTCCGCCTCGAGGTGAAGGAACCGCGTCTCGCTGCTCCGGGGTCACGATCACCGTCTTGCTCTCGACTCGGGCCACGTCTCGCGGGTCTGTGCGCGCCAGCCAGCTGAAGAACACCAGACAGACTCTCAAACACTGCAGTGCTGACCCCTGACCCCTGACCCTGACACACGATGTGCTCCAGGACTGATGCAAGATCAGATCTTGACGGTTTAACCCTCTGGTGCTCTTCACATAAATCTAAACAAGTTGTGTTAAACAATTTGAGGTAGATGTCTCAGTAAACCAGCGTTCAGTGAGTGTGTGTTCGGCTGCAGTTCCAGACGCTTCCACTAGAGGAACTCGTCTCTGGCCGTGAGGAGCATTTCACCATTCCGATGAATACAAAAAAATTGAAATAACAATAAATAGATGATGCCTGTCAAAAATGGCTGAGGAGCAGCTGAGGGTTAAACTTTCACCATCATGAGTGTGTGTTTGTCAGAGGACGAGTGTGTCGTACCAGTTGTTGTACTTGTGTAGTTGTGTGATGACGCCCTGTTCCTCCAGCAGACTGAGCACGGCCCGGTTCTCCTCGTCGGACCCGTCACAGATGTGGAGCGAGTCCGGCTGGCAGAGACTCACGCTGTTCTCGATGAACTCTCGCAGCGCTGGACTCAGATCCGCCGGGACGTCCTGCAGGACTCGAGACACGGCCCGGTTCTGGGACTGCTGCTGAGGAGGCATGATGATGACGACAGTCCTGCAACACGAGCACAACTATTGGCCCAAACTGGAAGAAAAATTAAACATTCATAATAAATGAAAAAATAAACGAAACTAACAACAGTAACTGAAAAACTGAAATGAAAATTAGCAAAAATAAATAATCGTTTTGGTAATTTATAAGCTCTTTACTGCGGTTTAGGGAAATACGTCGAATAACCGCAGAACTTTTCATACTTCTCACTGTTGTATTAATTTGGTTCTTTGTTCAATCTGAAACTATTAATTTATTTTTATTAGTAAGATGCCTGTCTAAACTAACATAACCATGAATGAAACGAACTAAAACTAAACTGAAATTTAAAGAAAAATTGAAAACGATATTAAAATAAAACAAAAAAAATGCTAAATTTGAAAATGCAAAACTATAATAATCTTGCAAAACACACACACACACACACACACACACACAGCCTTCAGAAGGTCTTTTTGATTTATACTGAATGATCACTCTATTCATGCATGCTTTCATCATCATCATCATCATCATATGGATCAGGTATAAACCCTCAATTTATACAATGAAATATTAATATCATAAAATTAGTTTTTATTTAGTTACAGTATTATATTTTCTTCTGCTCACTTTAGTAATGTAACCTTCGCGTAACAAATAGCTGCATCTTTTTGAACATTAAGAACATAATTATCATAATTTAATCATTGAAACTTTAATGCATTAAATGCATTATTTACTTGTTGATAATGCAATAGTTAACATTTTTAATAAATTTGTTAAATCAAATATATTTAACAGATTAATATCAACTATTTTTATTTATAATGATAGTTTACCTTAAGTGTTGTAGAAGTGATTCAGCAACTCTTCATCAGTCAGTGAGGATGAGGAGGGTCATCAGTGTTCTGCTCAGTGTGTGTGACAGTCAGTCTTATATACATCACTGACCTGAGGAGGAGGAACACACACACACACACACACACACACACACACACACACACACCGAACGAACGCATGTCGTGGCTTCAGTTAATAATTGAATCATTTCACTGTTCGTTTGGGAAAATACCTGTTCGGACCGGAGCCTAAACCGACCTTTGACCCGTTCCGACGTGATGCAACAGCTGAACATGCCACGTCACGGAGGAGGAGTGACGTCATGTGCAGCTCGCCTCGCGCGCTGATTGGTCGGTGAGCTGGAGGCTCGTCGCGCGCGCACTCAGCACTTTCTGCGAGAGAAAAAAATAATAATTTTAACATTTTATGATGAATTATTCAGTCATCGACATCATGTTATAACAACCCACTTCTCGCTTTCATCATTTTAAACATTTCATTTCTGTATACGAGTGAAGATGTTCGTTATCTGTAGGACATTTAAAGTGAAGAGAAAAATCAGAAACTTGATTTATTTCAGTGTTACTGGAAGAACCTTTGAGAGAACCTTCTAAAAGTTCCAAAGCATGAAAAATAAGTGTAAGTTGCATTTATATTATTCATAACTGCTCGCCATCAAAAATAAGATGCTGAAACAAATGGAGAAATGAGACATGACTGTCATTAGATGAAAACAAACTCAAACACGAACAGGACAAGAAGAGTGTGTGACAGGCTTATCTGAAGACTTGTTTTGGTTAAAGACCCTGTAATGCAAACCTGTAAGTCACAGAGAGATAAGAACCGGATGGCTTTAACAACAGCTGATAAACTGCGATAAATACAGTCAATGAGTCTCAGCCTTATCAATCAAACTCTCATATTCTGTGTTCTTGTTTATCATCTCAGATCATCGGCTGAAGTTCATGCACTGCTGTAAGAAAATGTTCTGGACATTCATATACTTTATTACTGGCCATGAAACCGTTAATGTTAATGACTCCAACATTCAGTGAAAATTCACTATTCTCTCATACAGTTTCCGACACCACAGCCTGACTAATATACATTTAAAACATTGTTAAAGTCAAGAGTCAGTAATAAAGTAAAAACAAATAATCAAATTACAAGCATAAGCACAAATAAATACAACATAATAAGCATACAAATTAAGTAAAAAGTGCTTTACAGTTTTTGTCTAACAGCAGGTGCAGACATTTAATAAAGTAAGCAAGTGTAAAATAACACTGCACATTCTGCACTATAAGTAAACTTCCTTACATTTATTAATAACCCTCAGCCAAAGTTATTCAGTGAAGAGTGTTTTTTTTCTGTCCTTTGTAGTTTGATTAACATTAGAAACACTGACAGCTGCAGAAATATTAGGCTGCTGCCACTTTAAGAGCGAATGCACTGATCTAATATACTGATACACATGCATTTACATTCTCCACTTTTTTACAGTTAGATACTCAATTTTTTTTTACATAATTGTGTGTGAATTTGTCTGCTCAAGAACAGAAAGATGTGAAAGAGAGATCAGTTAAACATTCGCTTGCACCTCATGTTTGCACACACACACACACACACACACACACACAGGAACGACGTGAACTTCTTCCTGTTACCTACTTTTTCTTGCACTTGAATATTTAAATTGTCAAGGCTTAAACTTTGGTGACAATGCAGCGCTAGCCTGGGTCATTTTGTTCATGTTCATGCATTGTTAGAATTCATAAAAAAATGTTACTCGTCAACTTCGATTAATACTCGTATTTGGTTCATGTCGTGAAACTCAACTCACAATTTTTTGTTTCTTTTGTATGAGCTTTTTTGAGTGTTGCTTGTTTCCCAGAAGTTGAGAACTTTTTTAAATCTTTAATTTGTTGAAATAGACAGATCAGTTGGATAAACACAGTAGAAAATAATTGTTCATGAGATCTGCGGTTCCATCTGCATGTGTTAACAGTGACTGATAGTGGGGATAAGCGCTGTAAAACACTTGTGAATGAACATACATCTCACCGATAACCTTCTGCAGATCAGGTATAAGGTTTGAACTCTTCATGTTCATCTGTCAATTACATAAAGCTGCTCTGATCAACACCAGCACTATGCGCCTGAACCCAACCCGTGTTTGCCTCTGATGAAGACACTAATCTATAGAAAACATGTTGCAACTCAAATGTAAGCATCTGTTTTGATATCTTGTTTACCGGCAGCAGTTGTGATGTGAAATTATTTACAGCTCGTATGAATAGTTCACAGAAAACAGTGTTTCCAGCCCGAGAGCCTCCTGAAAATGTCATTTCAAAGCAGGAAAATAACTGTGTCAAATTCATCAGTTTAATCATTCAGATCCAGTCACTTCATCGGCTGCATTTGAGTAATACTGTTGTAAAGTGATGATATCACATCATAATGCACAGAATTTTATTATAAATCCTGTATGATTGCCATATCATATTTTATCATGTTTCATGTTTGAAAAAATGACTACATTGATGCCATGGTCCTTCGGTAGTGATTAGAGCTGATGATACTCAGACTAACAGCGCGTTTCTCTGGCGTCGAGCGCCACCTGCCGTCCGAGTCACTCCTGTGCGAATACAGTAGAATGAATAGAGTTAGCTATTTTAGTGAATATAGTATTTTATTTGTTAGGGTTTGGGCTGTATTTAAAAAACCCAATTAAAATATAAACGTCAAAAAATGATGTTTACGCATTGATTGTAGCTGTTGCACGAGGCTCTACTAAAACATACACAAAGTGAACGTTTATTTTGTTTACACACACACACACACACACACACACACACACACACACACACACACACACACACACACACACACACACACACACACACACACACACACACACACACACACACACACACACACACACACACACACACACACACACACACAATTTTTATTAATATTTTAAAAAGCTTTAAATAGTTTTTGGTTAAAGTATGTGCAACCACAGACTCATTCCGGCGCCATCCTCATCACAGAATCTCAGGCTGCGTCCAAAACCGCATACTCAATGAGTAGGTACTTAATTTCAATAAGTACTTACTCAACGAGCGCTAAAAGAGTAGGTACTTTATAGCCAAATCTCGTTGAGTATGAATGAGAACCGGACATCTGCCATGTTGACGTTATCATGTGACCTACTACGACGTGTTATCATCATATCACAAGCGCAAAGAAATGAACAGCGACACGTTTAATTCTTCTATCTATAAATATCTTGACATTGATGAAACTTTCTCATTTTGTTGTGGTATTGTTGAAGAAACAGCTGATATTTTTTTTATTAAGAAACCCCCAAATCGTCACCTCTTGAATATATGTTGTTAATTTCTTTATTTTATACCCAAAACGTTTCTCCTTTAAGTTTTCCTCCTTTTCTTGATGAATTTACCTCGTTTCATCCCTCAGACCTATAACAAAACAACAACATTTTTCATGTATTATGAAGAACTATTTAAAGATATTTAGCCTTGTTATTGTTCCTTTTTCCTGTATTATGATGTAAACAAACCAATGATCTTTATGTTTTCTGTTTTGTCATTATGACTATTATGGTATCTTGATCTTGTATGTAATACGTTTATAAGTTTAAATTATGAGTGACAGGTGTACTAACACTTCATAACATCAGTGACTCGACAGCACAACCTAGAACAGTTTTCCTATGCGTTTGTAATGTCTGCACAAAGGAGACGGGCAGCTGCTCGAAGATCTCTTTTGGAGAAAACTGTTGATTTTATACTCGAAAAATGTAAGTATCACTCCTTAAAAATTAATATTACCTCAGAATGAATTGCATTGTTAGCCCACCCCAAAACTTAAACAAAATAATAATATTAAATGCTGACCAATACTTAATTATATAACTTTTTTATATACTAAAAATATAATTTAATATAACAAGCAAAATGTAATTTGTTTTGTCATATGACAGTTATGCATGAATAAATTTATATTCATAAATGCAGTGAAACATCTCAATTATCAGTCAATCGATGAATTAATGGATACATTAAATAATTCAATTTTATATACTGACAACAATAATAAAAATGAATAAATGAGTAAAAGAACAAATAAAAGTAACCATCACAATAAACAAATGCATTATACAAGTCAACAACACATGAAACAAAGCTTTATTCAAACTACAAACATGTATTTACAGGGCTGAACACCATAACCTACTGCCGACTCAACACAGCGGTTCCCATTCTGCGGCTTTATTCTGATGAATTCACCAGAGGGGACTGTGCCTTTGTCCCGGAGCTTGTTGCTGCGCTGCGCTTCACAATCTGAGGCAATAAGGGCAGGTGGAGAGATAGAGGGTCTTGTAAGGGCAGGTGGACAGATGGAGCGTCTCATCCATGGCACCACTTCCAGGATGCAGCTCTAGGCTCCTCATCCTCAGTGCTCACACCAGTCTGCAGACATTTCAGATCCTACAAAAATGCACAAACATTATACAAAAGCAGTAATTTTAACACAATGTCATTTGATTTATGTATTAAAAATAACCTTACTTTATATTTGAGTAAAATCCCTAAAACAAATGCTGCCATCATCTTTCCTTGCAGGTCCTGCTCCACCACAAAAGCTATGCAGCAAATGCACAGAAATCAAGAATCAGAAAAGTGTTGTAATTTCTCGACTTGAAATTTGTACAATAATTCAAATAAACTACAATTTAAGATTGAATAGATTTTGTTATCCATTTCTGTAGTATACTCACTCAGAGCCTTTCATGACAGCATTCAGCATCATGAGCCTCTCTCCAGCAGATAAACACACGCGTGTTCTTCTGTCCCTGTAACATACAGACAAGATTCACATTACGAGTTCAACACTGAATTTACATGCTGAGGTTGATGTGTTAACTCACTTTTAATCCAACTTAAATGTTCCTCAATATATCAACACTAATAAGGGACAAATTAAATATAACATATTTAGTTACTTTATAGATTTGTTTATTTACCTTATTTACAGTACATTTGTCTAATGTAAGTAGTGTTGACAACAGTGAATTATCCTTCATATTAATAGCACACATAACGTTACATCACTCAGATGTATTTTTCATGTTGGGATGTGCTCATCTGCAATACTTAAACAATATTTTCATTTCAGATGTAAATAGACATTTTAAATAAGCGTATTTAAGATGTAACGTTATATGGTTATGTAAATCCATTTTAGAAACTTACGTGTAGCGTACTTACTGGAGCTCCCCAGTTTAACTAACTAATAAAACATGTGTTTACAGCAAAATCACAACTATACTATACTGTCTAAGTCCTTTAGACCTTCAACAGTTAAAACGTTTACTCTATAGTAGTTTAACACATACGATTTAAACACAAGAAACCGTGTTTACTCACATTTGAAAACCCCTGCTGATCTCCGATGTTGATAATGACGTATGCTCTCCCGTGGCCTCCTGGGATAGAAGAGTATCAATCGGATGAACACTCAAAAATCGGGGCGAAAGCAGGAGATCATCCGGGAACTTCTCGCCTACTCTTTTATGAGTACTGAGGTTTCGGACATACTACTCCTTTCAAATACTGTTTTCCCCTACTATATAGTACGAAAGTAGGAATATTCGGACGTACTATAAGTATACGTATGCCCTAATCTCGCGATAATTAGTACGTCACTCTGGTAATTCTCGCCTACTCTTTTATGGATACTAAGGATTTGGACATACTTATTCGCTCGCCTACTGCTTTTTCCATACTATATAGTAGGGAAGTATGCGGTTTTGGACGCAGCCTCAGTTCCGCTTGATAATTGTTCCACGGCTCGAGTGCCCGAAGCGAACCGGGTCATGAGTGCCGATAATTCCCGATCCGATGCTCTTCTCCCGTTGCGGAACCTCAGTAACTTGGTGAGATGCAGCAGAGATCGAGTGAGAGGTATGAGGAACTTCTGACACTTTCTATTTCACCACAGACTTTAACTGTGTTGTGTGACGGCTAACGGCTAACTGTGTGTTCGGCGCGAGAACAGTCCGATAATGTATTATAAATATATATAAATATAATATACATCAATATATATCATCTCTCTCTCTCTCTCTCTCTCTCTCTCTCTCTCTCGCGCGCACACACACACACTCTCACACACTTTCTCTCTCACGCTCGCTCATGGTGTTTATTATTACACACTTTATGTTTTCAGATGGAGAGTCAAATGAATCCAGCGGGATGTTCAGCTTGTCAAACTTCTGGGAGAATCTGAGTTCAGTGTTTGTGACGATCTGAATATGAATATGAATATTATTTATCTGTGCAGTGACTTCACTCGTGTTCTTCTCATTTCACAGATGATGCTGTAAAAGTCACGTCTCAAGAAGCAACTAAACTCAGTTTAATCTTCTCGAAGCCACCATCAGAGGAGGTGCGTCTGACTGACCATCATATCGACCTTTGACCCTCGTCAGAGCATCAGATGAATGCTGTCTGTCCTCCATTTGACCTTTTGTCGCCTGTAATAGTGTTGCTCTGTTTCTCACTCCAGGACTGTGCCGAAATAGCAGGATGTGTCCAGAAGAGCGTGCTGACCTTGTCCACCGTTTACTTCTGGTTACCAAAGAGCCAGGGTAACTATAACACCAATACCACAGCATTATAACCTGTAATGAGCTCAGGGCGGATAACCCAGATAACGTGAAAGGTCAGACCTGCACCTGACTTGCTGATTTTCAAGTCGCGGCTGAAAATGTACTTTTACTCACTTTATTTTTTAATAATCGTGTTTTTTAGTTTTGCATTCTAGGAATGTTGTCTGTTTTAATTTTCTCCATTTCTGATGTGTTCATCTTGTGTTAAGATAATTTGTAAAGCACGCTGGTCAGCTTCAGCTGTATAAATTGTGCTATATAAATAAACTTTCACTTTATGTTATCTCAGCAACACCATCGTCAAATACGATCGACAGTTAGCATACGGTTTGGATTAGCGGTATGGTTCAGTTCTGGGCAGCCTAGCATGGATAAGAGCAGCGATTACAGAACAGAACCAACATGAATGTATTCCCGATATCCTTCATTACTAAAGATATTAAAGTACAACATAATTGAGGATTGATTCTGATTGGAAGGGGAATGAGAACGGCAGACGCTGACGGAGACGGGAGGAGGAGGGTAACCGCGACCGCGACCGATAACACTGACGAGCTCAGACTCGTACTCCTATAGCGGGACCCGCCAGAACTGACGCTACGCTTGATGTTTGCTTTAGGAGTGACGCTGAGGAAGGCGGTGCGAGACGCAACGGTGGAGGTGCTGGACGAACTCCTTCAGCTGACGGAGGTCATTCTCTCCTCTCCTGTGCACAGGTGACCCTACCTGACCACCTGACCCCACCTGACCACACTGACCCTACACCTGACCTCACCTGACCACACTGACCCTACACCTGACCACACTGACCCTACACCTGACCTCACCTGACTTATTTCGCATCGTCTCTATGATTGGTTGGTTTGCTATTTGCTGATCTCATGTTAGTGACAGGTTATAGCCCCGCCCACATCATCATTAACACAATACTGATGATGCCGTGTGTGTGATGTGTTCCTCAGTCTCTCACAGGAGCAGCTGATGTCGACTGGAGGAGTTTGGGCCGCGTGTGACAAGTTTAATCAGCTGCCAAAAGGTCAGAGGTCAACTAACCAGTCCTAGAGTTCAGGCGTGTTCATAACCAGATGGAGAACTGTGTTAGTGTCCACATGATCGTTCTGTGCATTCTCAGAGCTGTTGCTTTAAATGCTCCAGCTCTAAAGCAGGATGGATTCTGATTGGCTGTTAATGTTTATGGATATTGTTATAGCTGTGGTGTGATTCATTATTGTAAGATAATTATTATTAAATACATAATTTTTGTCACTTTTGATATTTAATGCACATCTGAATCGGAGTATTTAAAGTAGCCATTAGACGTTAGCCGTAGCCCAAACAGAAGATCACGCGCTCGCAACGCCAAGGTCATGGGTTCGATCCCCAGGAAAGGCATGAACTGATAGAAGGCTTTGGATAAAAGCGTCTAATCCTTAAAAAATGCAATGTAAATAAAATGAAACTGTTATATTTATTACAAATTCCTCTTTTGGAGAAACTGAGCATGTGTTTCCTCACAGATAACCGCAGTGCCGTGTTGGCCGTCTTGACCTCATATGCTGGTTTGGTGAAAGATGCACTGGCAGAAATGGAGGAGGTCAGAGAACTTATAAATAAATAAATGTTTTCAGCTGTAATACCTTCATTCATATAGTGCTTTACAGAGATAACAGGAAAATAATGCAACACAATTTGTTTCTTTGTTTCTGCTGTAAAAAAGTTATTAATTTAGTTCATTTATACTGTACACACACACTGTATTTACTCATATACAGTGTGTGTGTGTGTGTGTGTGTAATATTGTGCTGTTCTCCTCTCCAGGCTCTGGCTGAGACTGAAGACCCGTTCGCTGACGTCTTGCCCGATGATGATGATGATGAGGATGGTGAAGGCGTGGGAGGCCGGGGGAATCAGGACACGTACTGGTCCCCGTCGGACCGGCTGCTGGTGTGTGAGTGTCGGGGTCTGATGAAGGCGTCCGGAGCGAGTCTGCGTAAACTCTCCTCTGCGGTGCGAAACAGCGGCTCCACCGAGACCGAGGAGAACATCACACAGTTAGACGACCTCGCAGACGCTGCTCATGACATCAGCCCGAGGTGTGTGTGTGTGTTCACACACTCATCAAGATATTAGAGTCCTCCTGTAGCCAATCATTCATCCCTTAAAACTCACCAAAATTACAAATTTAAAAGATTTAAAAGATGCCTTAAAATATCTTGAATGTAACTCGACACCCTCGCCTCATTTAGTATGTGCGGTGCTATGAATATGCAGATGAGCCCCGCCTCCACTCACTCAGAGATCCACTGGTTGTCGATCACACGTTGATCTGATTGGTTACAAGGTGGTTTGTGACGTCAGAAACACCAGCGATTTCAAAGCGTGTTTTTGAGACTGTGACAACAACGGTTTTGTTGTCCTGTAAGATATATAAGATAAGCGGACACAGTTTGTAACATTTAACAGTGTTGTAGTCGAGACCACCTCACTCGAGTCCGAGTCGACACCGAGACCAGAGAGAGTCGAGTCCGAGACCAGAGACGGTCGAGTCCGAGTCGAGACCGAGACCAGTGAGGGTTGATTACCTAATTTACTTTTATTTACTTAGAGAAATCCTTTTTTTTTTTTTTTTACTGAATTTACTTAGAGTTTAAAAAATATGATCAGTTTAGGGTAAAAAGGCCACATAGTAGGTGGTGTTAAAAGTAATTTTATTACAATTTGTCATGCGCAGTTGCGCACTAGAAAATCACCAATCACTGGGCGTGTCAATTAATTTAAAGAAATATTTTATTAACATACATTAATAATCATGAAAAATATTTTGAATTGAACTCGAGTGGACTCGGGAATAAGTCCGAGTCCTAAAAAAAAATTTTTTCAAGTACGAGTCAATTCCGAGTCCAAATGCACATGAGTCCATGACAAGACCAAGACCATTAAAATATGATCCGAGTCTCGAGTACTACAACACACAAGTTGAAATGTGTTGAATGCTTCCAACCATTTAAATGTTTGTTAAAGTAAAAAAAAAAAAATTATTTTATTCATCAAGGATTGAATTAGTCAAAAATGACAGTGAAGACATTTATAATGTTACAAAAGATTCAATTTCAAATAAACGCTGTTCTTTTGAGAATCCTGAAACATAAATCTATCACAGTTTCGACCAAAATATGAAACACTGAAAATGTGTTCAACACTGATAATAATCATAAATCAATTTCTGAAGGATCATGTGACACTGAAGACTGGAGTAATGATGCTGAAAATCACATAAATTACACTTTACTGTATATTCACATAGAGAACAGATGATTTACATTATGATAATATTTCACTGTTTTACTGTATTTTTTGACATTACACCGAGTTCAGGGGTCTCGCATGATGTTTAACACTGATCACTGATCCTCCCAGTGAGTGTTTGCCCTCCAGCTGTGTGTGTGTGTGTGGGTGGCTTCGAACACTCGCCCTGACAAACCTTCTTCACACACGTTCACACTGATGATGAACCTCCTTGACTGTGATGATGATCTGTCGTTGTGTGTGTTTTCAGCGTTGATGACCTCGCCCTCAGTCTCTACCCCCCCGTGGACCGCCCGGCTGTCAATCATAATGTAAGTCTGATCTTTATCACGCACACGAGACGTGTTCAGACTCCCAGAATCACTTCCCAGTTTGGTCTCAGGTGTGTCGTCTCATTAGTCATGAGGACAGGTCCTGCTGTTCACTCTCGTTTACAAGACGTCTCTTCTGCTCGCCAAAGCTGCATTTATATGATAAAAAAAGGCAATATTGTTAAATATTATTATAATGTATATCATGTGTTTGAATATATAGTAAAGTGCCAGAGTTTAGTTTCAACACAATAGGGAAAGAAATACAATTTCTGTGTGTATTTTAATCAGATAAATGAGACTTCTTCTAAACACATTACAAATCTTACCATCCAAAACCTTTATGAAGGGCAGTGTGTGTTTTCAACACAGGCTTGTGTAGGGTCGTGTGTGTGTGTTGGGCTGTTGATTCCAGCGCTAATGAAGCGTGTGTATGTTGTAGGTGTGTAAACTGGCCGGTGTGCTGAAGAAAGTGCTGGAGATCACGAGGTAAGACATCGATCTGCCCTCTGGGTTTGTAACGGTGCTGAGTGTGCTTGAATTTTACTTTTTAAAACCCTTGAAAACAGCCGTATTTATGAAAAGTGCTTCAATTATTGGAAGATATTAGAAAATAGTTCAATTGTATTGAGAAAACGCACATAGAGCCAGTTCACATGAGTGTGAGTGTGATATTGCTCATATAATGAGTTACGTGTTTGATACAGCTTTCATTCTTCAGGTCAATATTCAGTAAATATATATAAGGGGAAAGTCAGTCTGAATAAGGAGAGTGATATCTTGTCATCGTGTCTTTCAGTGGTTAAAGTTCCTCAGTCTCTGCATCCGCTGCACTTCATTTGTACCGCTTTGGTTTATTAGGTTTTTATAATCTATTGGCCCTTTTTAGAATTTGACAGATTATTTCGATATGGTCTAAAACGTGAGATCTCTATTGAAGTCCTGGAATTTAATTGTGTGTGTGTGTGTGTACGAACCCTGTTATTATGATCTCATTGCTTCAGTGCGCGGTCACACGTTTGTTTGCTTTTGATTCGTCATTCCTTCATCCGTCACGTGTCCTCGGCAGGTCCAGTCATGTGTGTGGCGAGGCCGATGTGTGCTGGGTGCAGTTCCTGAGCGGAGCGGTCCAACACAACCTGGAGAAGCTGGAGTCGCTGCTGAGCTGCGGGTCCTAGAGACTCACGGACCGGGCCGACCCCATCACTCACGGACCGGCCCCGGCAGAGGAGCGTCTGATGGATGCTGCAGAGAGTGTGTGTAAAGGGGAACCTGGACCTTTCCCAGAGGCCATGAGTTACTCCATCTTTCTGAGCGATGTTGAAGTTCATGATGTTCACAGAAGTTAGACCTCTAAAATAATGACAATGACATCTGAATATAAAAGTGTTGCTCATAAAAACACCATGTCTATCTGTAAGGATTCATCATAATTAACCACAGTGTGTGTGAGAGACTGTGTAAGTGTGTGAGGTGAGTGAGTGTACATGCATGCATGTATATATTTAAGAAGAATGTGTTGTTTATAAAATATTAATATATTTATATATATATATGAAGAGTTCAGATGCAAAAGCCTCTAAGTGCCATTTGAAATTTTCTTCTAGAATGATCATTTTTATCAAGCTTGTATATTTAAGTTCAGTAATTTCACTTAAATGACAATGAAAATTAGCTATTAATTGTTATTTAAGTGAAATTACTGAACTTAAATATACAAGCTTGATAAAAAATTATCATTCTAGAAGAAAATTTCAAATGGCATTTAGAGGCTTTTGCATCTGAACTCTTCATATATATATATATATATATATATACATACAGTATATACATGCATGTGTGTGTGTTTCTATTATATAATTAACTATATATACAAAATAATTATGTAACAGGATACACACATTATGTAAACACACATTTTTTATTTTGGATGTGATTAAACTATTATTTTCATAACAAATGAGCAAAATCTCACGAAAACAATCTGATATTTTTTGTTACTTGAATTGACAGTTTATAATCATTGAGCGTTTGGGGTTTAAAAGGCATTGAAATAATGTAAAAAAAAACCACACACACACACACACACACACAGGAAGTGACATTTTTAAGAACATTTAAAAAATTTGTATTGCAACTTTATTTTCATTCATATTAAAGTCGTCCACTATAATGCACTCTCACTGTTTTAATGGAGACACTTCATTATCTTCTGTATTATATCAGCACAAATGAGCTCTTCACATCTCTGTAGTGTTCATGACTGGTAACAGCAGAACTCGTGATGGTTCTGCTGATTCTGATAGTTCTGCTGGTTCTGCGTGTCATTTGCCGAGGCTGAGGAACCTGAGCGCTTGTGTTGCTGGTCTCACGTTCACGTCCACACTGGCTTTAATGTTTCTGAATGTTGAGCTGTCGAAGTTCGCCACCAGTTTCTTGGGTCCGAGTCTGTAGGGACTGAACACCACCTTCAGCCTGATCCTCTGTCCCGGGCCGAGCTCAACAGCACTGCGCACACACACACACACACACACACACACAGGTTTGTTTTGCTATACTTGTGAGGACATTCCGTAAGCATAATGGTTTTTATATTGTACAAACTGTATATTCTGTCTCCTTACACTTACCATACCCATCACACACACACACACAAACCTAGCCATCTCACACAGGTCATGAACAGGATGTGTGTAGGAGAGCCGTGTCTCACCTGGACTGCTCAGTGTTTTTCAGCAAGCCGCTGCCGGTGAGCGTGACGGAGCAGTTGTTCAGCGGCGTGGGGAGAGGATTCTCAAACACCACCTCAGCACTCATCACCGAGCCCTGGAGAGGAGTCCCACTCACCTGACACACACACTGCAGGGTTAGTATGTGTGTGTGTGTGTGTGTGTGTGTGTGTGTGTGAAGACTCACCGTGAGGTCGAGGGCTGGACTGTGTGGGACGATGTCTTTCTCCGCCAGATACGCCTCCTTTGCCTCAGTTTTCCCCGTTGCGATGGCAGAGACTTTGATGCAGTTGTTGTCCATCATCTTTGGCCCGTATACAGCGAACGGGACCACGAACGGGAGAGTTTGTTCTGAAACGAGCACAGTGTTTTTATTTGTGCCTTAAATTAATTATTATAAACCTATACCAATATAAGTGATATTCAGTGTTGGGTGTAAGTAATTAGTTACTGTAATTTAATTACTTTTCCATTGAAAATGTAAAGTAAGGGATTACTCTTCATTTATCTGTAATTTAATTACAGTTACTTCTGATGTAATACTGTGTATAGATAAATCCGATCTCACTGCGATTCGTATGCAATTTATGAGGTGTCTAAATCGTACGACCGCACTCGTACAAATTTGTGTAAAATATGTATGAAAAAAGTGTGAAATGTCATGAGATCAGACATAAAACAATAGTGGGTTGTTAAAATGATGTTAAAAAGTATGTTTTTATAATGTAACCTTCTCCACCTGGGTCAGTTTAAGGATAATTCATGCAATTTTATAGTATTTATTTGAAAGAATTAAAACAGATTCGTGTCTATCCTTGTATTATTCAGCTGGTTGAGATTGATATGGGATTTTGAAAGTAATTAGTAATTAAAAATAATTAAATACTTTTTAAAGAGAGTAATTAGTACAGTAATCTAATTACACTGTTGAAGATGTAATTAGTAACTAGTAATTAAATACTTTTTTAGAGTAACTTAACCCAACACTGGTGATATTATCTCTCAAGAAACATTACATTCTGAATTAATCAGGAATTGAATTGCATTTAACAAAGTAATTTTAGGACCATTCAAATTTGAATTGACATCAACATTAGACGTTAGACGATTGTTAATTTTTTTGTTAAATTTTTTTAAAACAGCATAAATTAAAGGGAAGCACAACAAATACTATTTTTACATTACAGTCATGGTAATTTGGGGATTTAAAGAGTTTAATTAATCTTAAAATGGTCCTTAAAACAGGCTTCATTTTCTTTATGAAATGTAAAATATAACATATAAATTATGCATTTGTGTGTGTGTGTGTGTGAGAGAGGTTTTGCATGTACTGGGTGACACTGGTTTTGCTGGTGTATCCGCACCTGTGTTGGGTTGCAGTCGTATGTCGGTGGAGTCGCTCCACACGTTGGCCGCTGGGCTTCCGGTGTATCTCATGACCTGAGCGCTCATCTTCAGCTGCAGATCTTGTGCTTGTGTGTTGTCAGTCCTCAGAACGAGCTTGAGTTTGATGTCGGTGCCGTTCAGCGGTGGCGAGTCCAGTCTGATGTTCATCTCTAGGGTTGGACGAGGCGCTTCGCTCGGCTTCAGGCCAGTCACTCGCTTCACGGCCTCGTCGAACACGCTTCTCTCCTTCACAGAACCTGAGGACAAACAGATGGTCAGGCTTGAAACATTAATAGCTAACACTTTTACAAAGCTCTTTCTTATTAAAATAAAAAATAGAATAACATGTTTAGAAATTATACATATACACTATATTGCCAAAAGTATTTGGACACCAAATAATTGAATTCAGGTGTTTTAATCACTTCCATGGCACAGTGGAGGAGTAAAGTGGAGTGTATAGTGTGTTATATAGTGTGTGTGTGTGTGAGACGGACCCTCTGGGTGCTTGTACTGGTCTGTGATGTCTCGTCTGGTGTTGCTGCCCACTGCTTTGGTGCTGATATTCTGACCGACGGTTTTCGTGTCTGAGAGGATCTTCTTCTTGGAACCGTTGGCCATGACCAGCCATGTGACTTTATCAGCGTTCACCTCTCCGAACACGAACGGCACGTCGTACTGGACATCGGTGTGACCCTGCAGGATGGCCTTCACCGGCGCCGGACCACAGCAGTAAATACCTGAATGTAGAGGAGAGATTGTGTGTTAAATCACTCCAGTCAGTCAGTGTGAGTGTGTGTGAGTGTGTGTGTGTGTGAGTGTGTGTGTTTGTGTAGGGTTGCCTGGATGTAATGGAAAGGTTTTGTGTTAAATCACTCCAGGTGGTCTGATCTAAATATGATCTGTAGCATATAATATAATATAATGAGCAGACGTGGACCTGCGCTCTTCTCCTGTGGCGTCGGGTCCAGAACCTGCCAGCCGTCGTAGAGCGAGTCGTCGGAGAGATCCGGGCGCCTCATCCATCCCTCCACCCACACGTGATAGTTCCTGCGTCACAGGAGTGGACCAGATCAGCCTCTGAGTCAGCCAGCGAGACGTCACATGAGAACTGAAGCTCTTACCAAACACTGTCCAGGTTGCGTTTGGGTCTCACACCGTAGTCGCTGAAGTACTCGTCGATGAGGAGGTTCTGGTCCGTGTCGTGAGCCGACTGATAGTTGGTGACGACGCGACACGGGATCCCCAAACACCTCAACACTGCAGCGGAACAAGAGTTAACTCAAGCATCTACAAACACACCTCTGGTACTTAAAGGGTACATATCATTAATTTTACTTATAAATCATACATTTGTGGTCTATATAAAGCATAACTGCAATGCTTGGGTCTGAATTCCTCATTATTATAGCTCTACAGGCCCCTTTTCTACCCCTTTTCTGATGTGCGTCTGTGAGCAGGTAATTTCAAAGCGGCCCCTTTAAATAAAAAGGAGATGCGTCACACCCCGCCCGCTCTCCCGCTCGATGAGTTCACGGTCGGTTCAACTCCCCGCGTTCGGCCATTATTGTAGTTTGATAAGAGATATACGATTACTATAGCTTCAAAGAACATTTTTATTCACGTTAACAAAATATCAACAACGGAAGACTTGTCCATCAAGCCTTACATATTCGAGCCAGAGCGAGCGAGTCGATAACGACGACGACGACGACGAACCTGCAGAACAACCTCTTCATGTAACGTTATTGGTATGTAAGTTAACTGTTTTGTGTTATTAGTGAAAGTCGACTATTTCTCTTGTTAAAACAAGCACACTGACAAGATAAATGACTACGGTCTAATCTTACCACTAAAAATCTGTATTGATAATAATACGATAACTTACGTTTAGAAAGCGTCAGAAAACACAGCAGCTAAATGATAGAAGGAATTTACCCCTCATTCAGACGAAGTCAATCGGCAAACCCTTCTTTTTATACTGGCGGAGGTTGTTGAAGTGGGGATCCGGTCACTACAACCAAAAAACCGAACATTTTGACTAGCCGTCTCGTAACTTCTGCATCATTGAGCTCGGACTACAAAATCGGAGCGAGAAATAATAATGGCGGATTGCTCGAAGTGTTGGGCCGGTAGTCGATGTCCTTATTTGTCAGTTCCTCTGCAAATACGGTGATGTTATAGTTCAAAAAAGTAATAGAAAACAGAAAAATCCGAACAGGTTGAAAAATATGACCAAAACAGAATATAAAGATATAAACGAAGCACCTGAAGAGAATAATTTCATCTTTTCTGTGCTTATAAACACTCCAAATATACAACAAAATGCATTTAAGGGCTAAAAAAGTGGATTTTGCATGATATGTGCCCTTTAATATGATATATAAAACCTTGTTT